CCTTAACCCGGTTTGTTCCCTAATCCACTCTGCTCTTTTCTTGTCTCTCAAGGTTACACCTACCATTTTTCTTTCCATTGCTTGCTGCGTCATCTTTAATTTAAACTGAACACTCTTTGTAAGTCTCCAGGTTTCTGCTCCGTAGCTAATACCGGCAAGATGCAGCTGTTATATACCTTCTTCTTGAGGGATAGTGGCAATCCACCTGTCATGATTTGAGAGTGCTTGCCAAATGTGCTCCACCCCATTCTTATTCTTCTAGTTACTTGAGTCTCGTGGTTCGGCTCCGTGGTTATTACCTGTCCTAAGTAGATATAGTCTTTTACAGCTTCAAGTGCACTATTAGCTAACCCAAAGCGCTGTTCTCTTCCGAGGTAGTGGTACATTACTTTCGTTTTCTTCAGATTAATTTTAAAACCTACTTTTCTGCTCTCCTTGTCTAACTCCTTAATCATGAGTTACAATTCGTCCCCTGAGTTACTCAGCAATGCAATGTCATCGGCGAAGCGCAGGTTACTAATTATAAGGTACTCTCCATTAACTCTTATCCCTAACTGTTCCCATTCTAGGACAGTACCAAACTCAGTATTACGCGACGCGAACGGACGACATAGGTAAATGACACATCCAAACATGACAATCACGACATGCCTGTCATGTAACAACATAATTACATGCCACAATGATCATGCGCTTGCGGCAATTTCGCAAGCTTCACATGTGCCGAATTTGGTATTACGTGACGCCAATGGATAACGAAGTATGTGATTGGTGCAAACATGATGATCATGAGATGCGTGTCATGTGAGAACATGACAACATGCCACGGTCAAGGCGCCAATATATTTCGACGTGACATGGTGCGCGTGCTCGCCAGCGTTCATTTCGTTGAGTCACTCCGGCGTTGCCACGCCAAGCACCGGTCGTGTCATATTAAGTGTGAATACACTTTATAAGCGACCCCAAACCATCCACCGCCGTCGGCGGCGTCCGCAGTCTTCTCTCTATCTTTAAAAGAAAGAGGACGTGGCAGGCCGCAGCGCGTCGCTCTACCGAATAAGCCACGGACGCGACGCTGATGTCGGTGTCAGTAACGCGCCTTATATCTTTAACGCCGCTGCGCCCCCCTCTCCCTCCCCCTCCGCTCCCCCTTCACTTTCGCTCGCTCCTCCGGTCTCCTCGCTCCGGGTGAGAACCGCGTCCCACTGGCGCTCTTCGTGGATGCGTGTGCGGAAGAGCTCGCCCTCCCCACGATATACATGGGCGTACCTCGCAAGATCATCGGTCCGCGTTCCACGCCATTCGCCATGGCCAGCAGCGAGATACGGCGCACCGACCGGCGTGGAGCAACGCCGGAGCACGTCTTGTACATGGCCGCGAAGGTGATGCGGTACAACGTTGCGGAAAGCAACATGATGTTTCGCACCAACGAGACCACTGGTTCCATCACGCGCGAGCAGCTCGAGAGTGGCGGTAAGAAGTTCCTGGAGGAGGTGCTGGACCGCGACCTCGCATCTGTGTAGAAATGCTTCATGACAAACAACACTTAAATTCATTATTTACACTTTAATCACCATCATCAGAAATAAAACTCCCAAGCATTTCCCCGAGGGTGAACATGGTTAAGTGCGAATGCACGGGGTGATGCTATGAGGGGGAGTAAAGTTAAAATCCGTTGGCATTCGCCAGTGAGTTAACGTAAACTCCCCCGTGTGATCAAATTGCGATTCCCAGGAACCATTACACCATAGATGCACCATAGTGTGAATAATAAATATAATAGTGCCAATTAATAAATACCCCTCATAGCATCACCCCGTGCATTCGCACTTAACCATGTTCACCCTCGGGGAAATGCTTGGGAGTTTTTACTCGCAGGCGCGTGCCGCGCTGCGTTGCTTTGACGCACGCGCGTTTCAACGCGTCCGGCGTCCCTCCGTCAAGAAAACAGAGAGACGCAGGGTGTCTAGGTAACGCATTTTTGCGAAATGCAGCATGTCGCAATTCGCGCCGGTTGCCGTCGAACCACGCCGACGGACGCTGGTATAGAGTGCTCGCGTTTTGCTAACGTAGCGTTGCTGTGCCCAGCGTGCGCACGCGTCAACGCTACATTGGAGTATATAGTGCGCTTCATTATGCGCTCTCGGCTGTTTTGCTAGCTCCACATATACCAGATTTGGCGTTACATGACGTCAATGAATGACGGAATATATGACTGGTGCAAAGACGATGATCCTGACACACGTGTCGTGTAAGAACATGACAACATACCACGCTCATAGCGTGCTCACGGCCGTTTCGCTAGCTCCACATATACTAAATTTGATATCACGTGACGTGAACAGATGACGAAGGTAAAAGACACGTGCAAATTGATAATCATGACACGTGAGTCATGTATGGCATCGTTTACCTCCACTTCGTAATGTTTTGCTGATCTTAAAGCGGCATATCGACATTTCTCATTCGTACTTCGCATATCATCGATTCTCACTGTACGTGGGATCTGCCAATTTTTCTAATTGAGTTCCAACATTTCACTGCTGAAACAACCTTGCCCATATTCTTACACCGTGCCCTACAGAGACTGCCATCGGTTTACCGATAAGAACATGTGCTTTAAAAAAAGCTCAGTAAGATGTTGGTTGGTTGGTTTTTCAATATCTTGGCGCAACGAACTGTGGGGGTAGGCCATGGATTGGACAGTGCCTTGCTTATTTAACTAAGTCACTTGTTTAGGGAAAGGGTTGAAATTCAGCCCTTACAAGTAATAATTTAAACTTGTAATATTTCACACAAAAAAAGTGCCGCCACATCCACGAAGTGAATGATGATGAGTGGGCGAAGCTCCGGAGGTAAACCTGGTAAACCATGAATCCTCCGTACATTTTGCCCACTCGATTTTATTGCAACGCTCCCCCTAGCGTACGTCGCCGCACTATATCGAACGATGACACGCGCCATATGTGGCATCATTCCTATATAACACCTCGTATCTTTCATAATCAACTACACGTACCGCCGTCTAGTTTATAACATCTTGCATCTTTTGGATGGATGGATGGATGGATGGATGGATGGATGGATGGATGGATGGATGGATGGACGGACGGACGGATGGATGGACGGACGGACGGACGGATGGATGGACGGATGGATATGGCTGTACCCTTTAGATCGGGCGGTGGCTAGCGTAATACTTAATGCCGTCAGCTACAAGTACCGCCATCTAGTGAACACTGCAAGAACTGAACGAGAGGTGGCTACATACAGGGGACGCACAGCCCACGCCTTAAGGAGCTTCGCTCCTAAAAAAAGCCGTTGAAACAATAACCAAAGCGCACACAGCACACACACCCACAAAACGTTTTTACCTAAATCAACTGATTTTTAAGCTGCACTTAATATTCCATTCTTTTAGACTGTCGTAAAAATTGCTACAGCGTTGGAAATGCCCCTGTGGCTAAAACTGAATGTCATTGCGCCAAATGAATATTCACCGGAAGTGACCAATTTAAGTCCAACTTTCGTAGCATTTCTTCAAGTTGTATTTTCCTGTCTAGTTTAAATCTTCGGCACTTCAAAAAGAAGTGCTCCAGAGATTCTCTCTCATTACAGTGAAGGCATAAAGGCGACTGCGCCAGATCTGACCTGCGAAGGTAATAGTTTAGCGAAGGGACTCGACAACGCAGTCTTGTAATTACCATTTCCTCCTTTCTAGATGAACCCCGCCTGCTCTTCCAAGGGAACTTTAGCTGCGGAAAATCCGATTAAAGCTAAGGAGATTGCTTGAATTCATTGGTCGTTGTACGCTTTTGCAAGTGTATCTGCATGTTCACTAAAAGCCTGGTACCCACACTAGTCAAACGAGTCGCGCATGTCTAGGAATGAGCGATTGCTTGCCACCTTTATCCTGGCGCAACCCACCCATAGGGGTTTCGCCCATGAAACGAGCGGTGCCTTGCTATATAAAAGAATTTGTTCATAATTTCAGAATGTTAAACAATAGATAGTTTCGCAATCATTTGTTAGATTATGCTAAATTTGTTAGAAAAAATAATGAACAACGAACGAGATGTAATAACTTTAATTCATGGAAGTTTTTATTTCTTTTTTTTTTTGTTCTTCCAATAATTGCTGTCAAAGCATGTAATCTGTCTACGGCGCCGGTATTTCAGTAAATCGTGTGGGTATTTAAATATAGTGTGAGTGGTAGAAAAACATGAAAAGAGATATCGCATTTTTTGCGAGCTTTCCCGCACGTGCTCGCGAGACGAGACGTACAAAAACAGCCATTTATGATTGAAACTATTGGTTGTGTTCAGTGACCACCATTTCTCACCTGATACGCTGTGAACTTGAGACACTCCTGAACCGCGCTGCTCATGCGACAAACATACAAAGTGTGTTAGCGTACGCCAAATTTTGTGCTTTATCCCTCTAGAAATATAAGCATCACACTTGCCGCATTTTCAAGGGAGAATTGCAAATAGCAAGGTGGTGCCCCACTACGGCGAGCCTAATAAATAATCATATCGTGGATTAGGCACGCAAAGCAGTAGTTCTTGCATCATGTAACTTTTTCTTTCTCATTTCATGCAAGGATAGCTGGTCCTGAACACCCTTCATACTTTGGGTCATGCACGGGGTGATTATTACCGATACGTTATCAGACTCGTTGGTATCCGTTCATGGCTGCCTGATCCCGTGGCATGAAAAGGCATCGCTTCAAAATGTCATTTGCGCCTCTTTCCTCCGCGTTTGCGCCCCTGCACAGTACGCTGGAGCACGCAGGCGTTACCGGGCGGTACCAACGTGAACACTTTTGGCGCCTAGTTACGCAAATCGCTCAAATGTTGAGAAAAAGATAAAAGAAAACCTCGATTTTTTTTTTACAAGTTACGCATGTACACGTTACACGAGAACCACGAACGCTAGCTCTGGCGCTACACCATCGGCTGCAGGAGTGTAGCGACGCTAGCGACCCTAGCGAGCAGCCAGCAAGTGCCACGGCCTTCAAGAGTTCGACACCAGACGCGTGCGAAGAGCACAGCGTCTTGGAACCCCGTCGTTGCCAGCAAGCCTGACCCGCGGGTCTGTCAGTTCGAGGCATGGCTGATACAGTTGTCGACATTTTAAGGTGAGAACGCTTCTAATTCCCGCCTTATGTAGCGATGTAGCACGTATTCGTTAATGTTGGTGCGATTTTACACGCTTTTGCGGTTCTTTGCAGCAAAGCGAACAGCGCCTTCGTTGACGAAAACTACGCCGACGCGCTGAACGTGAGTCAGCCTTTTAAGTGCGAAGTTGTTTTCTTGTTTCACCATTGTGGCCTGTGTGAGCTTTGCGTTTGTTTCTTGCAACTTTGCCCTTGCTTAAAATTACCGCGCTGTCTTGAGCAGCTTGGGGTGCACGCTGTCCGAGCTACGCAAGGCGTATCGCACAACTTCCTGGCTAGTTGTAGGCCGTCCCTTAGTGCGTCTAGAACGCCTGAGCTGACGTTTCGCAGCCGATTGTCGCCTAAGGGTTTGCAAGTGGTAGATAGCTTGGTTGTATGGCGTTACGACAGTGTTTCGAATGCGACGTGTTTCTTACGCGCAAACAAAGCGCGCTAAGGACTCTATCTGACTTTCCTTGACAGGCGTATTAGTGGTAGCACAACGTAAGCCCGCGGATTGTTGCAGGGCAAGAAAGCGAACCGAAGTTAACTGTCATGTTCCTCTTCCTAACGCGGACAGGTCGCGCGTAGTTCGTGGCTTGTCAGTGCGTCAAAGTGGGCGAAATACTGAGAAGTGTACGCAGGTATTATCATTAGTGGAATCCTGGGCTAAAATTAGTTTTTATGTGCCGCGTCGCGTAGAAATGACATTCCCTACTGATAACCACGAGCCCTAACATAGTCGTGTTTTGTTGTAGCCGTGTGACATTACTTCGTGCAGTACGCGATGCGTGCAATTAGCCAAGGGGCCCAATTAGCAGTTCTCCTCATGTCCTGCTGTATCAGGCTGTAGATTTACGTTTGTTTGAATGCATTTGCAGCTTTACAACAAGGCAGCCCAAATAGACTTGGGCAACAGTGAAGTCTACGTTAAGAGGTCTCACACCCATTTCAAACTTGAAAACTGGGAAGGTACGATCTTTAGGTGCTTCTTTAGCCTGCATTTTTGCGTATTACCTTGTCGGTGTCAAGCATTGTATGTTTTTTTTTGTAGCCGTAGTCTCAGATGTGGACAAAGCTTTCGAGCTTGGTTGTGAAAAGAATGCCAAGCTTCACTTCAGGAAAGGGTAGGTGATGTGATTTGCCAGGTTTTAATAATTATGTTAATATTGTTGTAATTATTCTGCAGACTGGCATTGTTTCATCTGGACAAATATCAGGAAGCCAAAGAAGTTCTGGAGGAAGGATCGCGCCTAGGTGGTAAGCTCCTTGTCTTACGAAGGAAATTGCACTGCAGGAGGCATATGCAAAAAGCTTGACACATTGCATGCTTAGCATGTTTTGGGGTCTATGAGAATGGTAGTTAAATCATTTTGCTGCAAGTAGCAGTGCCAGTCATTCGTGTTTACCCTACTTCTGAACCTGCTATAGAACAGTGATGGTTAGATGAGATGTCTGCAACTATTTGATTAGCAGGCATATTGTAAACTGTCATTAAATCCTTCACAACTGCTGACAAAGGAGCAATGCTGTATAGGAGGTATGCACTTGATGTCATTCGGGAGGATTTCGCCATTTAGGCGCTCCGCACGCGCGAATAACTCTCTGCACGTGCTCTGTCCGAGATCTGTACGGCTACTTGGATGTGTAGTGACGTCTAGCATACCTCCTGTTGTTGAAGCATGGATAGCTAGATGGGCAGGCGAATGGACCTTCAAAATGATGCGGCATTAGTGTTGCCCCCTTGCGGATCAAGGCTCAGTGCATAGCCCCCTATTGGGAAAACAGTTACTGTATTTATAGGTGGTATGCATTGAACCTTGATCTGCAAGGCAGCAACGCCATCTGCCCCGCCGCAGTGGTCTAGTGGCTAAGGTACTCAGCTGCTGACCCGCAGGTCGCGGGTTCAAGTCCCGGCTGCGGCGGCTGCATTTCCGATGGAGGCGGAAATGTTGTAGGCCCGTGTCCTCATTTCCGATGGAGGCGGAAATGTTGTAGGCCTGTGTACTCAGATTTGAGTGCACGATAAAGAACCCCAGGTGGTCAAAATTTTCGGAGCCCTCCACTACGGTGTCTCTCATAATCATATGGTGGTTTAGGGACGTTAAACCCCACAAATCAATCAATCAGCAACGCCATCTCTGCACCATTTTGATGGTGCACTTGTACACACTGTTCTGCTGTCTGTAAGGATTGTGGAGCTGTAGCAGCTAGCTTTTTGCATGGGCGGACAGTGTGCGAAAATGGTGACTCCACTTATAGCGCTCCTCGCAGATGACTCCATGTGAATACACTATAGCTTGCTTGGCATCGTTAGCCAAAGGTGTGCTCAAGGGCAACTTGGGTAATATTGTCATGTCAAAGTTACATCTCCCAAATGTGCCCATGTTCTTTTCGGTCTCGGTTAGGTGGATGTATACATTTTGTACTCTCCAAAATAAGTTTCCTTGAAACATGCGTAGGCAAAACCACTTAATGTGATGTTTATTAGCGTAGTTGTGCAAGGCATTCGACTTTTCCAGAGCAGTGACCAAAAGGTACAGAGAAGACAGGTCTGATATGGCACATTCTTAATGAAATAGTGACAGTGCTGTTCTATTGATACTGTTTGGATGGTGATGAGATCTCTGGAATGCTGTTATTTTAACGAGTTTAAGTCTCAAATCAGTTAAAAAACATTGTCACCTCGAGAGTTATTACTGTGAATGTCCATGACCTAGCACTTGTTGCTTGCTATTTTGTTGCTATATGTTTTTTCCTAGGAAAATCATTCACCATAGTTGCTGTATATAATACAAACGCATGCTTTGCTTCACAATACATTGACCACACAAACTTCTATAGGATGTTGTGTGGAGTACTCCGGAGTGCCAACATTATTGGTGCATAGACCATTTATCATTGCTTCAAATAATGCAAGCCATGTCTCGGACTTTCAGCTCTGTACAGCGGCGGCCGCTAAATAAAAAAGAAGGTGCGGTCTGCTGGGTGCCGCCGAAAGCGACGGGACGGGCCTAGTTCACCTCGCGCCCGCTCTGGCGCCACCGCTTCTCCCAGGAGAAATGCTTTCACACTCATTTCTACGCGGCACAGTAGGCCGTAAATATCGTGTTTCGTAGCTGCACATAACAGGTTCAATTCCGAATCGTCATTAGGAGTTCCTAGTACACCACATATATGAAGTTTGCCCTAGCAAGACCAATCATTCGTGGAATATAGGCTTTAAATGCTCTCCATGAATTCTGCCCGTTTGAATCACCTGAAATGAAAGGGGTCACCGATTTCGTTGATAAGGAGGCAATTGCCGGGCAGATTACAAGGGCTGACGCATCTGTCCACCAAAAACACCACGAAAGCACTTACAGTTTAAATGTTGGTTCTTTTAGTGCATTAAGAATGCCAGTTGTGGTCCAAAGACCTTGCTAAAATTTTTTAGCAAGAACTTAGACACAAAAAAGATATGTATTCTCAACAAAGGCATCACTAAAACTTGCACCCTCGGCAGCTACCAATTACATCTCGCAAAATCACTTGGAAGGTATTTAAAACATCGGGAACAAACTTAACACACTACAAATGCAATTTCACGCATCATAAGCTGCGGAAGAACACCTAGCTGTCTCACATATTCGCTACACGCGTGTATTCCACAATTCTTCGAACGTGTCTTCAAAATTTCTCTTCAAAGAAACACTGAAACGAACTCCAGCACTGGTCGTCGCCCCGGCGACACTCTTCAACAAAGTACTCCAGCAGCATCATAACTCCATTCTTGAACATCTGCTGATTGCACTACATGACTCACTCACACTACTGAAACATCAAAACTTCTTGGCCGTTGTTCACCACCAGTCCTACCCTGCACCACCTCTAGTTTGGATCCTTCCCGGTTTCGTGAACATTCCAAGTAATTGTACTGCGTGTAGCACGTATACGTACCCGGGCGGCAACCTGGGGAAAGGGTTTCTTCTCACCAGTTTGGCTGGGAAAACAGTCGCCCCCGAAAAAAGCTGTTTTGATGTCTTGATTTCTCCTCATTTGTGCTGGTTGGCTATCCGTTTATTTTATTTCAGACAACAAGTATAGACAGTTTGCCTAGGGGATTGGCGTAAAGGCAAATGAATCCTTACAAAGTGCCAACCCCCTGTGTACTTACATACATAAGCGGTTTTATGTAGCAGTACAAAATTGGAATGCATACAATACCATCATTTATAATTTTTTTCTGTCATCAAGTAATTTGACAAATAAATGTATGTAATTGTGAATTAGCACATAAAGAATAATGATGGGAGACTATTTATGCACAACGATGGCAGACAAAATAAAAATAAATAATAAACACAGGTAAGAGCAGCATATGCAAGTTACATAAAATAAGAAAATGAATCGGAAGAGGTATGAAAGTCTCCAAGTTTTTAGGAGGAATGTGCATATCTTCTTTTTGAAGACATGCATGTGTAGAGGGTAAGGACACGCTCTGGCCTCCTTATGATGCTTGTTTTCTTGTTTCGTTGAGCGCGCCCGTGAAGGAAACTCTTGGCATGATGATTCGATGCTGTCGTCTGGAGGCGCCACGCACGTCTGCTTCAGCTCTCTTTTGACTAAAATAAGTGCTCTTTTATAAATAATATGCATCCCGATGCACTTCTTGAAGCTGTAGATCGCAGGGGAATGTGCTGTGTATCAATGTAGTCTTTTTTTTGTGTGTGTGTGTTTGAGCTGCTCAGTGGCGCGCAGAAAACTTTGCGGCGTCTTACCACTAAAAAACCGTTTACCACACACGCGCGCACCAAATAATCGTACTCGATCACATGTACCATGAGGCAAACCGACCCACTCCCTCACGATCACACACAAAATAAGTACAAGAAAGCACGCGAAAAAGCACACAGACACGCACAAACCCTCTCGCAACCACATTTAAACACGAAGTGCCATCCGCTTCGACGGGTGGAGTGTCTGCGCCCTTTCCAAAAAAGCGGCCGAAACTGTCAACTCTGCCCATACCTGCTCGCCCATTGATGACGACGCGACGCAGCAGGCCGCACCTTGTTTTTTATCCAGCGGCCGTGGTACAACTTATATGCATATCTTGCCCCCTTTTAAGGGCGTCCTGTAAAAATGCTGCCAATCGGTGGTCGAGGCTCCCGGTGCTGCGTTTTCAACTTAAGTTCCACATGGTGGCACCCTCGGTATTTACATTGTCTTAAACTAAGCATTCCATTCATCTAAGAATTGGGAGCAGTGCCCTTTCATTTCAACTACCAGCAATTTTTAAATTTACACTGCAGACTAGGTATAAAAGGGTTGCATTCTGTGCTCCTACCTTCCATAGATGATTTGGAGCAGGGCCCCCGCCGCAGTGCTCTAGTGGCTAAGGTACTGGGCTGCTGACCAGCAGATCGCGGTATCGAGTCTCGGCTGTGGCGGCTGCATTTCCAATAGTGGTGGAAATGCTGTAGGCCCGTGCGCTCAGATTTGGATGCACGTTAAAGAACCTCAGCTGGTCGAAATTTCCGGAGTCATCCACTACGGTGTCTCTCATAATCATATGGCGTTTTTGGGACGTTAAACCCTAGATATCAAATAGAAAATCAAATTTGGAGTATGGTCAAGACTTGGTTGCAGCAATGAAAAAGATAGTCCTTGCTTTCTTGCCAGAGAGTGCAGTTTAACGGCTATTAATATAGTGTTGAACAGTATGGGGGACCATCCTTTGCAAATAAAGTACTCATTTAAACAGTTTCATTCACTGAGAGGTAACAAGAGTGCAGAACACAAGAATTAAACAAATGTCAGATGTTCCATCTAAACAGCAGTTTTGTTTAAAGCATTCAGTTTACAGAGTCTTCTGTATAAGATTGTGTGCAATCTGCATCTGTGTCCAGGCGGTGATGCAGATTTTGGCGTGTGGATTGAAAAGTGCTCGGCTGAGATGAAGCTTCTCGAGGAAGCCAAGCAAGCTGTTGTGATGCCACCTGCACCTGCAAAGACTCGGTAAGCTTTTTGGGACTCCTACAAGGCCTGCCTACCAAATATAAGACTGACATCGCATAGTTTATTTTCTCTCTTTGCTGAAAGGTCAGAAAGTGTGCAGTTGCTGTGCAAAGAATGGTACTTGAAAAATCAGTCGCACAACTTACAAGCAGTTGAACATGAAAATGCTTATAATCTCAAAAGCACGAAAACTTCGAATAGTCAGTGACAACAGTACATATTAAGTGTAAAGTCGCTACTGTGGTGCTGAGGTTAAAGCTTGGCTGCTCATCCAAAAGATATGCGTTCAATATCGGCCGTGGTGGTTGCATTTAGATGAAAACAGTGGGAGAAACACATGTGTTGTGTGATTAAAGAACTCCATGTAGCCGAAGTTATATGAGCCTCCCAATAAGGTTTCACTAATGGAAGTCACTTCGGCAAACTAATAAATAAACCTCCATATACTGCTTGCACGTGGGCTAGCAAACTACTATGCTGCCATGCCAATAGCAGGGGTGGTGATGAGGCAATGTTCTAATGCGTCAAACAAGCGACATTGGCACCAACTAATTTTGTAAGCAAAGATGATGGCACCGCAATGTGCACCACAATGGTAAGCGAACTGTGCCAGTACTTGATGCAGTTGATGTACTTGATACATGAAGCGTGAAGCAAATACATTGCAGGGCATTGTGCAGTATGGTGCAGCATGCAGTATTTCGTTGTAGGACTGCAGTCTATGTGCATGAAAATATCAGCAGTGGCATGATCTCTCAAGCATTCTGTGATAAAATTGAATGGAACACATGAGAAAACGTGAGATAGTAGACAGCCAATAAACAAATGGGAAGTGCCTTGCAAGAATGAGCAAGTTTTGTCTCCTGGAAAACTGTATATCAAATTCCGAGGTGATGTCACTTTCAATACAATTGGCGGTTGCATTGATAGACATTTTTGCTAATTGTCAGTATAGGATCAGATTAATCCAGACACGAGGCAGGCCAATTTGCTCGTCTTGCCTTGATGCCGATGTTGCGATGCAATGCAGGCCATCTAAACTATTCTCTGTTCTATCGGACCGATTAGTGTTTTTTTTTTTTTTCACTTATTAGATGACACAATGATTGACAGTACGCAGAATGATCAAATGTTTGGCCACAGAACATGTACAAGTTGAAGCACCTGAGAGCCCCATTTTCCGGAGCCCTCCATTATGGCCTGCCTGTCAAATTGTGGTTTGGTGCATAGTACTCGTATTACTCAAGGAAAGCTCAAGAAGAGAATGACTAGTATTTTTCTGCAGCTGTATAAGGCGGCAGCAAGGCACGCTTAACAGGTCGTTGCGAGCTCGTGTTTGTGTGGTCATTTTAATCATCCATGCGTCTGAGCTGATGAAAATGTTTTACTTGTCTTTTTTCATAATTTGGCTGTTCTATTTCATTTTTTATTGCAGTGACTTGCATACTGAAAGCTGTAGCTTAGATTCTAAAGGCCATGGAGGACTGCGAGCATTTTCACTGGAACTAATGTGTGTTTTCTTTTAATTTTCTTGCTGCCAATGTTGTTGGTGTCCTTGCAAGCCTGTAGTACATATAACTAGGAATGTCTGAACTTCTCAATGAAATTTCTTCTTGAAACTGCTTATTTTGTCCATCAACCTGTGTCCATCAACCTGTGTGTGGGTTTGCAGTTACGAATGGTACCAGACAGAGAGGTACATCATCATCACAATATTTGCGAAGAACCGTAAGGAAGAGGACGTGAAAGCAGAATTTACCGACACAACGGTAAGTTGAATGAACTCTCTGCTGCTGCCTCACGTGTTCTGATGCTGCACATTGCATTCGCTTGTCTTTCTGCAGTTCTCGCCTAATTAATGGTGTGGTTCGTTTGTAAAGTGAGGCACACCCTGTTTTTAATATGTATGCTATCGGATGTCTTTCATCTTGCAATTAATATATTACCTTGTCTATTATCAGCTTTTATAACGGCCTTCAAGGCACTCTGCTTTGGATGCTTTTGGTATTGCTGAACTAATTCTTAATTAAGGCTGCTTGTATTGGTAAGCTCTTAGGAGAACCAAGAGGGCCCTTTAGAAGACTGTGCTTTGTGTGTTTTAGTAGGTTGTGTATAGGCTTGTGCAAATATTGAACTTTAGGTTCGAAGCAAACTTGAAACGAATAGTGATTTTAGTCATTTTCGAATCAAATTCGAAGAGTACATATATTGCATATTAATATAAAGAACAATGGGCATACTTGTCATGGCTTAACTAACCTGCACAATATTTTTCAAAAATTGAAAGGGCTGTACCAATATCATTCTTTTTTATTCGAAGGAAATGGAAACTGTATATTAAGTAGCAGGATTTTGCTTTCAACAGAATGCAAGTGATGACCTGTAAAGTATGTTTTAATATTTGCTACACTTGGAGCATACAAGTCAGTACAACAAGGTTTTTAACGTAAAAAGTAAATTCTGCCTAGGCTTCTCGGGCTTTAGTCTTTGCCCAGGTTGGTTTTAGGATCAATATATTTTTCTCTTCTTTCTTATCGGGGGCGTACTTTGTGGCCTAAGAATTTTACACTGCACGGTTAGCTTCGGTTGAATGTCCTTTTGGCAAGCAGTTGTCACGTGGTACTCATCGCTGCATTTTTTTTTTCACGTTATTTCTGTGATGCGCGCTTTCAAGAAGGCCCTGCGTTCGAAATAATGAATCAATTGCGAGTTCAGTGCTGTGTGTGTGTCACTCCTGAATATTCAGTCTCTCTTTGCGCTGATAAATCTATCTTAATTATGAGCTAACTCGCCCAAGCAGCAGTTTGACCATTACTGCTTAGTTACTGCAATAGTGCAGAGGAAGGGAAATTTGGCACACACATGGTTGAAGCAGCCTTATAACACACAGCTGTAAATTGATTTAAGGTTTGTCATGCAGGATGATAACGATGATGCAAGTACACAGCACTAATTTGGAGTTATGTTGCATGTGTTTCGATCTCAAAAATATCTTGTCACAGATATTGTAAGACCATGCAAGATCTATACATTTTAGGAGGCGTACGGTCTACATTAAACAATATTGATGTTCACACCCAGGATCGAAGCTCTGACATGTACCCATGGCATTAAAGAGGCCGATGTCCTGGGTGTGCAGAGTCGTCATTGGGCAAATCATGGTTATCCGCAGGACTTCTAAAGAAGTGTGCAGTGTGTGACTCGGAAGGTGGGCTGCCCTTTGAAATGAGGTTAATGAGACTGGTAACAAGTATGCAGTTGCATATGTACATTATTGAAAAGGGGATGTTTTATATTGTCGCAATGTGGAAAACCAGGACACAAGGCTTCGTTTCGATGAGAACAGCAAGGCTGTTCGCACACAAGAACAAAACGCAAGAGCAGATGCCCAACGTTGTCTTCCTCGAAAAATGCCAGAAACTGCCACTTGAGATGCTGGCTTCTTCCTCCTCTGTTGTGCTTACAGCTAACAATCGCGACATTAGCCTCCCTTCCAAGAAGGCATCGTCCTGATACCTCATCATCATGACGGCAGGGTTTGTAGTCACTGGCAGCCCACGGGTTTATTCGGACAAATAAGGCTTCATCCGAACTATGTCCACAACCTCTGGTTCATGTTTTTGACGCCTTTATCATGCAGACTGTTGGGAATAACCTTGTAGTTAACACCACTGAGACGCCGGTAACTTTCGTACGGCCCAAAGTACAGTCTTAAGAGCTTCTCTGAGAGGCCACGATGGCGAACTGGGGTCCAGATCCAAACTTGCTCTCTTGGTTCATAGGAGACTGGTCGGTGATGGAATATTATGGCGCTTTCTGTCATAGTCCTGGTGGTGACAAATACGTACGCGGGCAAGTTGTCGGGCTTCTTCAGCAAGCTGAGTTATGTAGTCTGCACTTGTTTCAACGCCATCACTTTCATGCGGCAACATAGCATCGAGCATGGTTGTGACGTCACGGCCATGGAGAAGACTTAATGTTGTCATGCGCCTTCTCTCTTGATGTGCCGTATTGTACACGAAAGTGACATAAGGAAGTATCTCGTCCCAGTTCTTATGCTCCACATTGACATACATGCAAAGCATATCCGAAAGAGTTTTGTTCAGCCGTTCAGTCAGACCATTTGTTTGAGGATGGTATGCCGTTGTATGCCGGTGATATGTTCCACTTAGGCTTAAAACTGTGCGTAATAGCTCGGCTGTGAATGCTTTTCCTCTGTCAGTTATTTACTACAGATGGAGCGCTATGCCTTTGGACTGTATTCTCAATGAAAAACCGAGCTGCTTCACTTGTTGTGCTCTGCTCCAAAGCCTTAGTTTCGGCATAGCGAGTGAGGTACTCTGTGGCTAGAGAGAGAGAGATATAAAAAAACTTTATTCTATTTATATACAGGGAGCATGTGGGAGGTGGCCTGGTGTGAGCCACCCCTCACAAACACTAGGTGGGCTCCTCATTGCAGAAGCCCCATTGGCGTCCTATGCCACTCGGGCTTGGTTTACCAGGGCCCTTTGGCTAGCCAGGTTGGAGCAGCCGAGCTGGGCCGCCTCCCAGTTCTCCCGGGTAGGGTTCGGTTTTGGGGTGAGGCGAGGGGTTGACTGGCATGCCCACACCGTGTGAAAGATGTCCGAAGACTTCTCCGCACTGTGTGGGAATTTTCCTGTACAGGCAGGATCGAGATATTTAAAAACTGTTGGGCACAGCAGTGTTTTAGTATAAAGGCGGAGGAGTAAATGCTCCTCCACCTTTGTAAGGCCCTTACAGGGTTTAGGATAAATTGAATGGCCGAATCGGTAGAATTCAGCAATTTCTCTAAATGTCATGGCCGGATTGGGTTTGAGATTCATTTCGGAAGGGTCTGAAGGTGTTACCCAGAGAGTGAGCGCGTGGGCGCAGCGGCGGCAGCGGCGTCAGCCGTTTCATTGCCTTCGAGGCCCGTGTGAGCCGAAGCCCATATGATCCTTCGGGAGGGGGGGGGCGACGTAATTGCTGTTTTCTAAGATGCGGTACGCCAGGTGTTGAATATTTCGGCAGGCCCCTCTCGAGTCTGTAATGATGACGCGCGAGTCCAGTTCTGCGGCAGCTAGTGTGATGCGACTTCCTCTGCATATGTTATGTCCTGGGCTTTAAATGTGAGGCCATTCAAGCGACATTTTGATAGACGACTGCAGCTGTGTACCACCCCCCGTCGTGAAAGCTGGAGGCATCCATGTAAAATATGTTGTTTGTTCCCATAGTGGCGACCTAGTGCCTCCGCCCGCGCAAGGCGCCTGCCACTGTGGTCGTCACGTGTCATCTTGGCCGGAAGAGGGTGCACATGCAGGGCGTATTTCCAGACTTCTGGAATGCGTATGCGTTCGTCCATCTCTGTTGGATGGTGGATGTGTAGTCGGACTAATCGGCGGCGACCCAATGGAGTCATTGAAAGTCTCGTGTATTGATTGGTTAAGTGTGCCTCCTTGAGCTCTGTAAAAGTCTTCATCTAATCATCCCTAGGGCCATAAGGCACTGGTTGGACGTGGTTATTGGGATATCGAGGGCACGCTTTTGCATCTTTCTGAGAATCGCCTCAAGGGTGTTCTCATCGATCTTGTGCAGGTCGAGGTAAGAAGCCGAGTAGAGGACTAGACTCGTTACGAATGCATGCACCAGCCGCAAGGTGTCTGCAACGTAACCCCCCCCCCCCCCCCCCCGCTTTTTTTGGAAACCCGTTTTGGACCGTAAGGCCCACCTGGTCCCCCCTCCACCTTACGCAGTTTTGTCATTGCTGTATCGACTCAGCGCGATGCTTGTGAATAAACAGACCCAGTACACTGATCTCATCGTGTTTTGGGATGGGTCTGCTTTGCAAGGACATTTCAATTTCGGTAGTGCACTTTGGTGAGGAGCGAATGTGCACAAATTGCGATTTGGTCGGGGAGCATTGAAGGCTGCAGTGGTTGGCGTAAGCGTCCACGATCTCCGCCGCTTGCTCCAGGTTGGCTTCTATGTCTCCTACCGATCTGTGTTTAGCCCATATGGTAATGTCGGCTGCATAAAGTGCATGTTGTTGTATGCCTTCAACATTCTCCAGCTGAGCCGGTAGGTTCATCATAGATCTGTGTTTAGCCCATATTGTAATGTCGTCTGCATAAAGTGCGTGTTGTATGCCTTCAACATTCTCCAGCTGAGCCGGTAGGTTCAACCTAGATTAAACAGTAGGGGTGAGAGGACCACGCTCTGTGAGGTACTTCACGTTTCTGATTAGTAGGGGCCGTGTTCTTCACTTTGTGTTCGGATATGACTGTCGGTCAGAGAGGAATTGTCTAATGTATCGAAACATGTTGCGTCCACAGCTGGTTTGGGAAAGGTGCGTCAGCATGATGTCATGTGTGACGTCGAAAGCTCCCTTCAAGTCAAGGGCGAGTACTGCCTTGTCAATGAGGGGGTAGTCGATGTAATTTAGAATTTCGCGGTCTAACTGAAGCAAGACATCCTGTGCAGATGGAACCCGAACTTGGTGTTGGCAAATACGTGTTGGTTCTCCAAAAACTCGGATAGCCCATCTTCATTCAGCGATTGGTGTCGAAAACTCCGAACAGCGGAGTTGTCATCTTGATAGGATGGGACTGTAGTCCAAGCCATGCCTTCGGGATCGTAACCCCACAGGTGAGACGCGGTGGCTGCCATGTCACCTCGAGTGTCCAGTGTGACGCCGTCGGCATTTCAGGCCACCAGATCCCGGCGTCGCCATTAGGTGCAACGGCATCGCCCCCGTGGCCGGGTGAACTTCGGCTGTAATGACTTGAAAAGTGGGCCCCTCTGGGTCAAAGTTGATTACAGCGGGGTCCAGTTGACTTGCTGCGTCGATGGACGTTGGGCTTGGCAGAGCGCATTTGATTGAGCCATGGCCCCATCCAAAAATCGTTGGAGCCGATGCGCCACACGTCTTGCTTCGTCGCGCGCTCGCAGTGCATCCCCATTTGTTGCTACAATTATCCGTTTGCAACCAGCAGCGCAAGTTGGAAATGGTCCTAGAAGATCCATTCAGACTTGAGCGAATGGAGTTTCTGGTACATTAATTCGATAGAGGAGCCCTTCTGGTTTGGCGGCTGGCACTTTCCTATGTTGGCACTCGAGACAAGTTTGAACGTGCTGTTGAATTATTGCCATCAGTCTCGGCCAGTAATACTTCTGTCTCACTCGGCATAGCGTTCGTGTGTAGCCTAAATGACGACCGGATGTCGGTTCATCATGGAACGTCTCTAGTACTTCTTTTCTGAGTGGTGTTAAGACAAGTAAATTGGTGTTGCCGCTCGGAGAAAAGTTCACCTTATATAGGACCTTGTTGCGCAAACAAAACGATGCTACCCCTCTTGCGAAAGAGCTTTGGCATAGCAGGTGTGCGTCCCTCCAAGAAATAAAAAAGTGGTTGCAACTTTGGGTCGTACCTTTGCTGCTGTGCGATTGTAGACGTGTTGACAACACCGACGACCGCCACGTCATCATCATCATCAGCATTTGCGTCTTCTAATGGGGCGCAAGAATGGCAATGGGCGTCCGTATGTCGCTTTCCCGATTTATATAAACTATAGCCATATGAGGCCCTAGCACGCTAATCGTCCTGACGGGTCCCTTATGTTCGTCAACCAGCAAAGAGTCGTGGTTGGTGATGACTTTAAACGGGCGACCATACAAATATGGCCAAAACTTCATGACGCTTACACCACCGCAAGGCAATCTTTTTCAGTGGTGGAGTAATTCTCCTTTGTGCGGGAGAGAGTCCTACTTGCACAAGTAAGTACTAGTTCAGCACCATCTTGCCACTGAACGAGCGCAGCTCCTAAGCAGACATTGCTGGCCCCGCCGCGGTGGTCTAGTGGCTAAGGTACTCGGCTGCTGACCCGCAGGTCGCGGGTTCAAATCCCGGCTGCGGCGGCTGCATTTCCGATGGAGGCGGAAATGTTGTAGGCCCGTGTGCTCAGATTTGGGTGCAGGTTAAAGAACCCCAGGTGGTCGAAATTTCCGGAGCCCTCCACTACGGCGTCTCTCATAATCATATAGTGGTTTTGGGACGTTAAACCCCACAAATCAATCAATCAATCAAGCAGACATTGCTGGCATCAGTGTGAATTGCTGTCGGAGCGTCATCGTCGAAGGTTCAGAGAACTGGCAGGTTTTGAAGACATCACAGCTCATTGAACGCTGCCTGCTGCTCTTCTCCCCACATGAACGTGACGTCTTCTCGTGTCAGTTGTGTCAAAAGTGATGAAAAATTCTCAATGAAACGTCTGTAATAGGCGCAGAGGCCTAAAAATTGCCTCACTGCCTTCTTGTCTGATGGTGTGGGAAAACTTGCAACAGCGGCTATTTTGTCTGGGTCAGGCCAGATGAGGTGTCCCAAAAAAGCTCTTCGAAGCCAAAGTGGCATTTTTCGGGCTTAAGTGTTAGTCCGGCCGACCGCATCGCTTTAAATACCGTGTGTAGTCGCTTGAAGTGCTCGTCAAATGTCGCAGAAAATACGATGACATCGTCCGAATATACCAAGCACATTTGCTACTTTTAGCCTGATAGGACTGTGTTCATGAGCGGCTGAAACGATGCCAGTGCTGAGCACAAGCCTAACGGGAGAACCTTAAACTCGTAAAGATCATTGGGTGTCACGAATGCTGTTTTTCCTCTAACTTTCGTCGGCTTCTATTTTCCAATATCCGTTCCATAAATCCATCGACGAGAATTAACATGCATGGCGTAGTCGATCGAGGGAATCGTCCATGCGAGGTAGCGGGTAAACGTCCTTTTTCGTAACCTGATTGAGCTTGCAGTAATCAACGCAGAAACATGAAGTGCCGTCTTTTTTTTCTTCACCAATATTACCAGTGATGCCCAAGGACTTTTCCACGTCTGAATATCGTCATCCTGAAGCATCTTTCGCACATGACTTTCTATGGCCTCACATTCCCGCGGAGCTACTCGATATGGGTTCTGCTGTACGGGTCTGGCCGTTTCATTCATACTGATGCGATGTTTCGTCAACAGCGTTTGGTGAACTCTGGACGTCGAAGAAAAGCAATCCTGAAACTCGTTAATAAGATCCAGAAGGCTTTGCTTCTGCAGGGGCAGTAAACTTTGGCCAACATCGACAGGTAGAGGGGCTGACCCGGTGACATCGGCTTTCTCCACAATCAAGCAGCCTGCAACATCAGTGAGCTCCTCCTCGTACGGGACTGCCACACTTCTTGCAAGATGTCGTCGCTTAGTACTGAAGTTCGTAACCAAAACGTGTGTGTGTGTGTGTCCACAATTGAGGCTTACGACTGCTCTTGCAGTAGATATGCCATGGCTGAATAGCAATGCTGGAATTTGTTTGGCGATATGGTCGAAGTTGCCTGGGTGGTCGCATGTTAAAGCTAGGAGAGTACTTGACCGGGCTGGAGGAGTCATGTGATCTTCAAAGAGGCGCAGATGTTAGTCTCTGGTCGTTACATCTCCTATCTGAAACTTGATCTGGGGCCATCCAAAATGTAACTGACCTATCTGGAATATGTAAGACGGTGCCATATTCACACAGGAAATCCATCCCTAAGATCAGGTCTTTGCAGCACTCGCACAAAATCGCGAACGTGGCAACGAAAGCTGAATCACCGATACTGATTCTGGCAGTGCACTCTCCAGTCGGCAACATCAGTTGGCTCCCCGCGGTTCTTGCGTTAAGCCCCGTCCATGAAGTTTTAACTTTTTAAGCCAGTCTGCAAGCTTTCTGCTTGTGTTAAAGAAATTCGCGCCAGTATCTACTAGCGCTGTCGCAGAACGTCAGTCTATGTAAACAGCTAGGTCTGCGCTTACGATTTCCTGTGGGGTCAGTGGCATTGCATTGTTCGTCTTGTCGTACTGGTACTGGAGGTGTTGTAGCATCTCGACGTGTGGCAACCTTCCCTCCAAAGGTTGCAGCTGTTTCCCCGTTGAGGGCTTGGGGACCTGCCCCCGAATAGTGTCGGCGTAACTACGATGGTTCGGCGAAGAACTCTGCGAAGGTGATGGAGAGCGGGATCGGCGATACAGAGTGAATGGCTGTGCTTGCGGGTGTGCGCTGTCACGTCGGGTGTCGAAATGAGGTCGTGAAAAAGTCAGGTGCATAAATTGGGTATCTTTGTTCTGGATATGGGCAGATGCGGTAAACATGCCCGGCTTCTCCACAATGGAAACACAGGGGACGGCAGTCGATGGTGTGTCACAGATCCGTCTTGCGAACAAATGATCGACTGGTGGGCACCCTCAGCGACCAAGTTGCAGGTGTCTGCGGAGAGTAGAATAGAGTTTCAGTACATGCGTTACATTGTGGAGTCGTCGTCGGGTGGCGGCGGCGATGGGTTGTCAACTGGTGCCGCCGGTGTGTTGTAGGAATGAGCCAGTGCAGACGAGTTGTGTGGCACTGCCGACGGGCGGCTGGCGCATAGTTAAAATAGATCGCTGGGCTGGTAGTGATTCTGGATTCTGGCAGCGAAAATGCTTGCCCGATTTCCTGCCGCACAACTTCTTCAACTGAAGCCATTGCAAGTTCTTGCGGAGTCGCAAGGAAGCTGCAGATTTCTTCACGAACAACCTCGCGAATAAGCTCACGCAGAGAACCGTCACTGCCGGCTGTCATAGCAGACACACTAATTGAGGCATTGTTTGGTCGGTCGTAATAGCGACACTGTTGCTGCAGTGCTCGCTCTATAGCTGTAGCCTCTTCGATGAATTCAGCAACGGTGTCGGTGAACTGCGAAGGTCTGCAAACGGCTGCTCTTGATCAAATGGCGGAGTTTCTTGGCTTCACTTACGTCAGGGTCTGCCCGTCAAAATAAAGCGGGTCATGTTCTCTGCAAACATTGCAACACTCTCATTCGCTTTCTGGACGCGAAATTCAACGAGTTCCTGAGCAAAATCACAGCGGTCGTGTTTGCGAAGGGGCTGAGAATCTGCTGCGGAAATTCATTCCATGAAGACAGCGTTGCCTCGTGGTTCTCATACCACGTTTGTGCAGCGAACTAGGCACGTGAAATGCTAGTGGCACTGGTAATTTATGAATTTCAATCCTCTCCACCTCAGATGTAGTGGTAAATTAGTTCTAATCTAACCTAACCTAACCTCATGAAGCAAGGAAGTTGCAGTTGACAGTTTTCAATTCTTCGTAGAGAATATTTTCAGGGTTGCAATATTTTGGTGCACCTCAGTGTACCTTGATCTTCCCATTGCAACTCGTATGTTAACATAGGGGTTTCTGTTTTGGTTTCATGAACCATATTTTCCACAGGTGAACATCACAGTGAAGCTTCCTTGTGGGGACGACTACGAGCTTTTCCTGAACCTTGCACACCCCATCCATGCAGACCGCACTGTCGTCAAGTGTTACCAGACAAAAGTGAGTGAAATCTGGCCCTATATTAAGTTCCTTTTGTCAGGAGTACAACAGCTGCGCCATTTAGGCCAATTCAGTACAATTTTATTTTTGTGTCGGGCTGCACCAAAGCAGGAAAATTTTTTGAAATGCAGTTGAACCTGTTTATTACAAACTGAAAAGTGCGGCGATCAGTGGTCATTATATTAGTAGGCATTGGACTTGCCCTTAAAACTTGCACTTTTTTGCATGTTAAGAAGAGATGCTCCTCGAAAAAACTTTTTTGTTTCTAGTCATAGACACTTGAAAATTTTGTTACTATTATAGTTTTTCACGGAGATTTCAAATATACAATCATTTTTTGTGTAGCTGCTATAGTTATTGTGTTATGCCATGCACAATCGCAAAAAGTTACATGTTTTGCAGGTACTCTTTCATGTACTTCACTTTCAGTAAAAGCATTGTCTCTGATCTTATTTGACTCTTGGTAGATTGTAAAGCGCAAATATCTATCCAGATATGTCACAGAAATATTGGAACTAAAAAAAAAAATCGTTTTGAATGACTAATCATTTTCGATCTCTCTTGACACAATAACCTAATATTTTCACAACTCTGGAATTCTGGTAGGCATTGCCATTTCAAATAGATATTTGCATTCTGCATGTGTTGAAGAATATGCATGCCAAGTTTCGTTATTATACAATAAGTACAAGTGTCTAAAAGGCTGCCCAGAAAATGTGAAATTTTCAAAGAATTGAAAATGAGAAAAAGGAAGTTTGAAAGTTCGAAGAGTTGGAATTTATTAGGAAACCATTTTTTTTTGCATCAAATTGGGGCACAATGCAACGCATCTTGCATTGAATGCTTGAATCGCACAGAATTGTGAAAGTTGGTCATGGCCTGGGCCTATAGTGCGTGCTGCCAGAACTGCTTTCAACGTTTACAGCAAAGCTATCACGACGCGAGCTGCCGCTGCCAAAACGAGCGCTCGTCCCTTGGTCCCTGGCCGAAGTAGTAAGTCTCGACGCGTGCGTCAATGAAAGTGTAGATTCAGGGCAATCGGTATTTTCACAGCGCAGTTCGAGGAATGCCGAAAGTCCTTTGCGCTTTCCAGCTACCTTGGACGCAGAGTTCCTGTTCGTGGTAGGTTGGGCGTTGCGCACCAGACACAAGGGCAGTCAGCGCATCGATCTCGCAAAGCAGCGTGTTGTCAGTAGCAGCACCTACTGGTCTACGTTCACTCTCGAAGAATACGCTCTTCATTTGGGATGCAGTGACGAATTCCACGGCAGCGGCTATTTCACGTCATCGCGGGGTTCATGTCAGTTAGGCCAACACCTCCTCTAGAAAGATGCCCGAGGAATGGCTTGCGCTCCCAGCAAAGTTAGCCTGCCTTCAGTTTGGAGCAAGCGCCATGCAGTGGCGCTCGCGACCAACACTATTATCACGGCGGCGGGCGGTACCAGCTAAGCGTTTTTCACCTGCGGCTTATAGGGGCGCGTCAGTCGATAGCTGTTCGACACCTGCACCTGTACACCACAATTTCGGAAGCTATGCAGAGTGTTGCGTTGTTGCACCGTCCGCCGCAGGTGGCGCTAGCGACTTACAACATTCTAAAATGAAGGAGGGAAAGGGTGTGGCAGCTGTTTTTCTTATGCGGCAGGCATCTAAATAGAGGAGGCGTTGGTTAGGCCTATCCGAAGTCGGGGCATTGGTCAGCGGTGACATCGGCGTTCGCTGTCGCTTTGGGAAGCGTCCGACGCCGTTTCCCTCAATATTTAGGGTGAGTTCTGAACTTTTGATTATATAGACTGCGCTTCTCGGGGCCTGCCATGACGCAAAACTGCAGAGAAATACCGAACAACTCGATTGCGACGTCCGAGGCTTCGCTCTTTTGCTGGAAGGGAAGGAGGGGGGGAGGAGGCGGAGCGCACCGCCGCTCCGCCTCCATGGCGCTGCTTGCCATGATATTCAAAACGTGTAACGTATGCATTGTTTTTCTTGTTCTTGGTTCATTTGTTTTCTTGTCCTTGGTTCAAGGGGAAGGCCTTTGCAGCATGTGCGCACGATTGCAAATGGCGGCCAACGCGTCGTTGTCGCGACAGGATAACGCGAACTATGCCATTTATGGCGACATTCGTGTATTTCTCACGTCACCGCTCCCTACTTTGAAGCATTTTTAGATCATTTCTTGGGCGAATTTCAGCTTGATATTTTCAGAAGTAAAAGATTATAGTCCAAGGATGCCAATAAAACTGAAAAAAAAAAAGCAAAAATTTTCCAGAAAACTGCGACTTTTGACCTGCGTCTCCCCTTAAGGGGGGGCGCGGCAAGTAAAGTGCCGATTTTGGTCAAAATATGCGATTTTCTGATTTATTTTTTTTCGTAATCTTCAGACCTTCAACTTCCTTGTTCTAAAATATTACAGCGAAACGTGCGCTACAAATCCCGCAAATAGTGTTTTTGCCGAGGCTAGTCGCCGAAAAGTGCGAAAAAAAGCCCCTGAAACGGTGTTGTTCACGCCGCACAAACGCGCCAAGTTGTTGACCGTGGGCCGCCATTTTGGTAGCTTTGGAAAGAGGAGAAAGCCGGCTTCCCGATGGTCGCGGTCTCGTATTTCGCCGAGTGAAAATAAAAGCGCGAGGAGCAAGTAAAAAAACGAAAACGAAGAACGGCAATTGGCTGCGCGGGTCACGTGGTAGCAGGCGCGACCTCTTACTGGTCAAAGCTGCGCCGCGCACCTTGGCAACCTTGGAAGCGCGAGCGCATCTGCGGCCGCCGAGTCGAGAATCATCCGGCGTGCGCTTCGTTTTTTGCCAGTTGGCTGTTTTTGTGATAGTTCGCGTGCTTTTTTTACCAAGCTTTGTTTACATCGGTGGTCTCTTCTGAGTGCTTGCTCATACTGCGGTGCTATGTTGTCGCAAAAAAAGTTCCGGAGCGTCCACAAGTACGGCAAGCGTCGGAAAGCTTGGAACAAAGGGCAGACGACTGCGGCTGCCGTCCCAGTCGCAGTTCCGGACGGAGCATGCTCTTCAAGCGTCACGGAGCCTCTACTCAGACCCTTCGCTGATTGTTGTGAGGCCGAGAGTGTGGAAGGTGCCACATCGTCGTATGTCAGACCGCCGGATGCCGTCGACCGTGATGGACGCTCTCGCAAACCCGATTGCGGTGGCCGTTGCAACTCCGGGCGTGCGCGCGTCGAACATTCTATCGCGAGTTTCGGCCCAGATTCCGAGCAGTGAAGAAATCGCGCAGCGGGCGCAGACAAGGCGGGATGTTTTGGATGCCGTAGCATCGAAATCCGCTTCAAAGCGGAAGCTCGAGCTTCTGAACGAAGGCTGCGACGAAAATGACGGCGGTAAGGACTCCACATTCTTCATTGTAAATAAGAAGATGCTGAACGGTCTGCTTTCGTCAGTAAAGTGCAACAAGTGCGACGAAGGGTCGATACGCCTCGAGACTACGCACTGCCTTGGACTCGCGGCGAGGATGGAACTTTTTTGTGACAATTGTGGCATAGTGAACAGTGCGGGGTCGTCCCCGAGGTGCTCCGGGCAACAAAAAACGAACCCCTTTGAGGTAAACGTGCGTGCTTTGAGGGCTGTGCAGTCAGTTGGCAGAAAACAATCTGCCATAAATGACATTTTTTCTGCGATGGACATTTCGCATCGAGCACTGCACCACAAGTCCTACCAGAGACTGCAAAGGAAGTACAGCCACCCTGCCACCACATCAGCTGCCACCCGCATTGAAGCAGAAAGTGCACAGAAGGTGCATGACATTTACAAGGACCTAGGAGGAGTGCCAGGCAACATTGACGTCATTTACGACGGCACGTGGATGACGAGGGGGCACAGAAGTCATATTGGCGTGGGCTGTGTAATCGAGCTGTACACAGGCTTGGTCTTGGACCACTGTGTCCTGTCCAACTACTGCCAAGGCTGTGCTGTTGGTCCCAAGCCTGGTGACGACAACTATGAGGAGTGGCTTGAGAAACACAAGCCACAGTGCCAAAAGAACACCGATGCTAATGCAGGCCAAATGGAAGTAGAAGCAGCGAGGATCATGTTTGAAAGATCGTTTACCAAGTACAAGCTTCGATACATCAATGTGCTCTGCGACGGTGACAGCCGTACGTACCTTGCCCTCACGCAAGACAAGGTGTATGGCTACATGTTGATTAAGAAACAGGAGTGTGTGAACCATGTGAAAAAAAGAATGGGCACTTCCTTGCGCAACCTTCTTGATGAGCACAAATCCAAAGGCCGAGGACTGAGCATGGGTGGCAAAGGCCGGCTGACGCAGGGCCTTATAAAGAAGTTGACGAATTATTATGGCTGGGCCATTAAGAGCCACCCCAACGATGTTCCTGGCATGGAGAGGGCCATCATGGCCACTTATTACCATGTAACATCCACAGACCAGGATCCACACCACGGCCTGTGCCCAAGTGGGACTGACTCCTGGTGCCCGCACAATCAGGCATTGGCCAAGGGAGAGCCGCTGCCGCCTCACAAACATAAACTGCCCCCTCACGTGCGAGTGGCACTGCTGCCAATCTACAAGCGCCTCTCGAACAAAGAGCTCCTTGAAAGGTGTGCGCAGGGAAAAACCCAGAACGCTGTGGAGAGTATGAACAGCCTCATTTGGTCACTCCAGTCCAAGAGCCAGTTCGCCTCCCTTCGAAGTGTGGAAAGTGCAGTTGCAGATGCAGTCTGCCGTTTCAATGGTGGCTGCAAGAGTGCGCTGCAAGAGATCACTGCTCAACTGGGCTTCAATCCAGGAGACTGCTCTTTGCGGCGAGCAGCCGAAAAGGATGCCAAAAGGGTGAAGAGGGCTCAAAAGACGCATTGTTCCATGACAAAGAAGCGCAAAACTGGGTTGCGCTCTACAGAGGCCAAGGCCACAGCATCTCAGGATTACTGCCCAGGAGGATTCTGAGTGTTTTAGGCATGTTGTGAACTTCCAAACAAGAGTGAACTTTCAAAGTCAGTTTTCTCAACTCTTGATTTTCGCCTATG